GAGTTGACCTTAGCACAGCTTTCCACCCGCAGACGGATGGCCAGTCGAAGAGTACTATTCAGGTTCTTGAGGATATGTTGTGGGCCTGTGTTGTGGATTTTGGAGGTCATTGGCACCAGTTTTTACATTTGGCAAAGTTTGCGTACAACAACAGCTACCACTCTAGTATTCAGATGGCCCTATTCGAGGCGTTATATGGTACGCATTGTCGCTCTCCAGTTGGTTGGTTTGAGTCTACAGAGTCTAGGTCGCATGGTACAGATTTGCTTCAGGAGGCCCTGGATCAGGTGAGGGTCATTCAGGATATGCTCAGGACGGCTCCGAGTAGGCACCAGGGTTATACGGATCGGAGGCGCCGACCTTTGAGATTCTCTGTTGGTGATCGGGTATTCCTCCGTGTGTCACCCATGAAGGGCGTTATGTGGTTTGGGAGTGGGGCAAGCCTAGCCCCAGGTACATTGGGCCTTTTGAGATACTCCGGACAGTGGGGGTTTGCTTATGAGTTGGCCCTACCTCCAGCATATTCAGCCAACCACCTGATTTTCCATGTCTCGATGTTGCGGTGATATGTTCCTATTGAGTCCTATGTGCTCCAGTATGATGCAGTCGAGCTGGATGATCGTTTGACATTTGTAGAGGAGCCAGCTGCCATTCTAGCCAGTGATGTGAGAAGATTGCGCTAAAGAGCCATTCGTTTTTTTGAGGTCCGTTGGAGGCATCGTCCAGTCGAGGAGGCTACCTGGGAGACCGAGCAGGAGATGCGAGAGAAATTTCCTGGCTTGTTTGAGCCTTCAGGTATTTCTTGATCCTATCTTTCGTGAACGAAAGTCCTTTTTAGTAGTGGATATTGTAATGACCCTCCAGGTCATTTCTGCGTCTTGCCTTCTGTGTGTCGTTTAGAGCGTTCCTGTAGCGATCCCAAGTCATTTATGACTTGCTGGGACTGAAAGTTCAGTCACCTGGTCATATGTTTGGTCTTGGTGTGAGTTTTTATGTTTTGGAGCTTATGAACTTTAAAAGATCATTTTCGATCAAAAGTTCAAGAAGATAACATCGGAATCCAATTTTGACGATTCCATCAGCTCCGGAAGGGTCATTTCAGGCTAGTGGCATGGTAGACATGACTCCCGAGGATTTCAGTGTGAGTCGGCGCGATTAGGCGTTTTAACTTTAAGTTTAAGCCTAAGTTTGACTTTGGTCAACATTCTGAGTAAACGAGCTCGGATGAGAATTCCGTCGGCGCGGTTAGTTTCGGAATGTCGAGTTTGGTCCAGATTGACCATTATTTGGTGTCCCGAGGTTTTGGATATCTTTCTGAGCTCTTTTGTGGGTTTTGACTTAAAATGGCCTTTCGAAATAGGACCCACTTTTTATCAAGATGACGTCTGTGGAAATATGGACTACGCCGTTGAGTCCGGAATATCAAATTTGGTATTGTTGCATATCTGGTTTGAATGCACAGGTTCCGAACGAGTTCGGAGCACCCTGTCGGAGATTTTAGATTTGGAAAAAAGTTGCGGCAAATCTGCTATTTACTGTAGAAAAACAGCAACCTTTTCCACACCTTGAAACTCTCATAACTCTCTCATCTTTTGTCCGAATTAGGTGATTCGAAGTGCAGGAGCTTCGTATTTTCGGTGACTTTGCTGTAAAGTGTTCAGAAGTTGTTGGGTGAACGTAGTTCTAGGCAATTTTGCGATTTACCTGACTACTGTACCCCATTTTCGAGCCTTTGTTTTAGGAATTCTTGTTTTGGTCATATCTCTCTCATTTTAGCTCGGTTTTGGGTGATTCAAAGTCCCACGTGTTGATAATTGTCGAGACTTCATCATAGAGTATTCAAAGAGTGCTGGGCACCGTTCGATTCTTGTTTATTCTGAGTTTTGACTGCTGCTGTTTTGTTTTTTTTAGTTGATTAAAGTGTGTTTTCTTGCTTGTTGGTTTTTGCTATGTTTTGAGCCTGGAATTGTGTTCCATTTTG